GCCCATACCTGTGTTGTTACTTTTTTTTTTTTTTTAATTTCTAAATGTTTTTAAATGTAAGCTCTTATGTCCAGCATGGGGCTTGAACTCATCTCCCTGAGATCAAGACAGAGTCAGCCAGGAACTCATTTGTTACTTTTTGTTTTTTAAGATCAAATTCATATAAAATCCACTGTATTCACCTTTTTAAAGTGTGCAGTTCAGTTTCATGTTCATCATGTTGTGCAACTGTCACCACAGTCGAATTCCAGAACATTTTCCACCCTCCAGCAAGAGGCTCGTACCTGTTAGCCGTGACCCCTGCATCTGCCCTGCGCCTCCCCCTGCCCCTTCCCGCCCGAGGCTCTGTGTAACCATCACTCTACTTTCTGCCTCCATGGATTTCCCTGTTCTGGATATTTCACATATAAATGGAACCCTACAACACATGGCCTTTTGTGTCTGGCTTCTTTCATTCGGTGTAGTTATTTTCTGTGTTCACGCACGTTGTAGTGTGTATCCATTCTTCATTCCTTTTATGGCCGAATGAGATCCCGCGGTGTGGGTATACGACATCTGATGATCCTTTCATAAACGGTGGGCATTTGGATCGTTTCCGCTTTGGGGCTTTTACGAATCATGCTGTTGCGAACACCTGTCTGTGTGCAGGTTTCTGTGCGAAGCGTTTTCGGCTTTTTTGGGTACACGCCCAGGAGTAGGAATGCTGGGTCACATATGGGGACTCTGTGTTCCCGTTTCCGAGCCTGCTGCTGTTTGACGTCTTGGGTGCGGCTCCTGTTTGTTCTCCAGGTGCTCATCTAATGCCTGGGCCGCTGCACCTTTCCCTGCTCTGGTCTCCCTCCGGCCGCCTCGTCGGGTTCCTTGCGTGGTGGAGCTGCCGCACTTTGGAACCAGCGTGAGAGACAGATGGACGCGTGAGCAGGCCGTGTGTTTGGCTAACGGCAGATGCTGTTGGTGGCCCACCCGGGGTCTCTCCCCTCTGCGCCCGCCTGCCTCCTCACTCTTCCCCGCACCGGGGCGAAACCAGATGTTTGTCTAAACTGTCCTGGCAGGGCCTTCCCTGTGGCCAGGCGTGGTGGGGGTTGCACTTA